AATTTGTCTGGAGGCACACCTTCCATTTCATCGAGAAGGACTGTTGCCATGCGATCCGCTCTGGCAGTCACCCCCGTCACTGCTACTGTAGAAGCTTCCGCCTTAGGGGCCCCTTGCCCCTCCTCTGATAGAGGTATGCGAGTCTTGCGCGTGATCATCTGTAACTCATCGCGAGCCGGCTTCGATGCCGCCAGGTACTCCAGAATAGAGCATTGCATGGGCTGTCGAAGGGCCCTCCTCAGTGGCTCGACCGTGTCAATCTCATCCAACAAACTCTTCATCAAAAACTTCTTCATTCTCCGTTTCCGCGCCGAAAGGATAACCTCCTCTCCATCAACTCGCTGCCCCTCCTTCTCTGCCATCACGTAGTCCGTGTCATCTTCTTCGATGTAGACCCTCTTGCCGACTTCGTGGCCGCCACTCTTATGGGTGTGGTTGCCTTGTCCCCTTCAAAAGTTATCTTGATGCTCTGGCTCCTGACCGGCTCCATTCTTCTACTCGTCTTTATTTTCCTTGCTTCGACATTCTCCTTCATCGAAGGGAACATCGATGCATCTCCGAGATCATCTGCCCACTTGACGTACTTGCGATCGTCAAGCACGACAAGTCCCTCTTCTATTGCCCGTTTAAGGTCCGGGCAATCCCTTTTCATATGATCTTCTCCCCTACAATAGACGCATGAGTTCCTGGGAGTAGACGCCCTGTCGTCCGCCCCCCTAGACATCAATTTCCTGACCACGTTGGGGTCAGGCGACTTAGGATATGGTTCTGATGAGACACCATATTCCCCTCTCTCATTCCGACTGCGCGGATCGTTGCGCCTGTCTCCTCCAGACCCCCCTCGCTCGTACCGCCCTCGCGAATCATATCGGCGGTTCCCCGAGTCAAATCGCCCATGTGGCTCATCCCATCGGTCTCCTCGGTCGTACCATCCTCGTGACCCGTCGCTCTGTCCTCTCACGTCTTCCCCGCGCTCAAACCGTTCGCGCGACCCATCTCGTCGTTCCCAGTCCCGATCTCCTCTCTCATACCTACCACCTCGGCTCGACCTCTCGTATCTGTCATCCCTATACCCATCTTGGCCCGATCTCTCGTATCTACCTCCCCTATATCCGTCTCGTCGGACCTGATCTATCTCCCATCGGCCGCGGGAGTCGCCCCTCTCCCGGTCAGTCTCATAGCGGGGGCTCCGCGGGTAATCGTCCTGCCTCCTCGCTCGCACGAACGCATCGTGATCTCTGCGGTCTCGGTCTATCTCGTCGTCCCTACGTCGCCAC